TTTTAATACTCCCACAGGGGCCAGCACTCGAGTTCTTTAAAAAAAAAGTGTTTTTTTTTTCTTTATTGATTTTAGAGAGGAAGGGAGAGAGAGAGAGAGAGAGATAGAAACATCGATGAGAAAGAACATCGATTGGCCGCCTCCTGCATGCCCCCCACTGGGGATCGGGTCCACAACCTGGGCATGTGCCCTGACCAGGAATTGAACTGGTGACCTCTTGGTGCATGGGTCAATGCTCAACCACTGAGCCACACCGGCCAGGCAACACTCGAGTTCTGTAAAAGGCCAGATAGTCGGTGTTTTTAGTCTTTCTGGGCCGTGGTCTGCATTGCAACTCTTCAACTCTACTGCTGCAGCTGAAGGTTGCCATCCAAACTGTGCAAATGTGGGCGGGGCTGTGTGCCAGTAGTTATTTATGGACACAATTTCCAATTTCATATAATGCCAAACATGTCACAAATGTCTTTTTTTTTTTTAATGCCTCTTCTGTTTTTTTCCCAGCTATTTATAAATGTAAATACGCTTCTTAGCTGACAGGCTGTGCAGATGTAGGCAGTGGGCTGTAGTTGCCAAACCTTGCACCAGAATCCAGTTTCTCTCCTCTCGGAAATGAGCTGCGGCTTGGTGTAGGGGCTCCGGACGAGTCACCCTAAGAGGTACCTTTGTGGTAGGAAATTGTTTTGAGCTGCAGACAGCCAAGACCCTGCAGGCTAAGAGAAACTTCTGCCTTGAAGAATTTAAATGAGGGGACTTGCCCATAATAAGGGATTATCAGAAACAACCATTTTTTACTTATCTCTAAGGCAGGGCAAACTTGCAATTACTGAACACCTTCTCTAATGGTCTGCAATGAGATTCCTCCCCACCGAAGCCCCAAGGTGATCCTGAGGTCAGAATGCCTTATGTACCTCATTGTTCTTTTTTTTGTTGTTGTTGTTGTTGTTAATTCTCATTTGAGGATATTTTTTCCATTAATTTTTGGAGAGAAGGGAAGTGGGGGAGAGAGAGAAAAACATGGATGTGAGAGAGACACTTTAACTGGTTGCCACCCACACGACCCCAACCAGGGCCGGGGACAAACTGCAACCGAGGTACATGCCCTTAGCGGGAACCAAACCCAGGTCTCTCTGGTCCACAGGCCGATGCTCTAACCGCTGAGCCAAACCGGTCAGCGCTCCCTTTCTGTCTTTAAACCTCTCATGTATGTGGGTCTCTGACTCATGTATACAGGGTTGCCATACATAAGCATGTATTAAATTTGTTTTTGTTTTTTTTTTCTTGTTCTAATCTGTCTCCTGTCTATTGATTATTAGACCAGCCAAAATGATAGAGTGACTTTTTGGTTGACATGAACAGATTTTCAGTTCAATGAATAATAGATTATAATTAAAATCAAAATGAGGATTAAATGATTCTGAATATTCCATCAAAAAACCCCATGGTTTTGCCTTTTTTGTTAAGTTTGCCCAGTGTTAAAATAGAGCAGTCTGAAAAAATATGGTAGGCATTTTTGTTTTCAAAATTATTGTGTGTATGATTTTTGCTGGTCTGGAATTAGCTCAGTTGAAGCGGTGACCCGTTAGTATTTTTCCTCCCCTGTGGATGTGTGTGTAATTGCTGGTTGTCCTGAGTGACATTTGGTTTCAGCGCCCCAGAAGGAACGACCCTGAAGCCGTACTTGCATCTTTTTGGAGATTTCAGACCACAGAATCATGTTTTTAACCTTTCTCATAAAGCATAGCTCTCAAATGCTTTTGGCATTTACTTCTTTAAAAATTAAAAATTTGAGACTTTTATAACATTCCAAAACAACCATTGAAAACTGTCTTAAAGCAATTGGGGAATTGGTACGTTAGAGATCAGATTGCAACGCTGGGGTTATCTTTGACCTCCCAGGGAAAACTGGCTCAGAAGACTTAGTTTTTACAAATTACTTCACCTGGGAATGACAAATGACTAGCTTGAAAATTAGTGTTTAAAATTTTTGCGCACTTTTCATATTAGCATAATAGTTTCCTTATATTTTATGGGAGAAAGGTTTACCTATATTTTTCTTCTGTCTTATACATTTTCCCAGTGATTTCTGCTAAGCCTTGATCCCCTTCCTCCCTCCCTCCCTCCCTTCCTCCCTCCCTCCCTCCCTCCCTCCCTATTCCTCACCCGAGGATACATTAGATAGAGTGGGAGGGAGAGAGAGAGACAGAGAGAAACATCTATGTGATAGAGACACATCGAGTGGCTGCCTCCCGCACGACCCCGACCAGGGCTGGGGACGAACCGCAACCAAAGTACGTGCCCTTGACCAGAATCAAACCCAAAGCTCATTGGTCTTCAGGCTGAAACTGAGCCAAACTGGCCTGGGCTTGCTTTTTTTTTTTTAAGGACTACATCCTTTGAGAAGTAACAACTGTTGCAATAGGAATTTGTTAATTTATTAAAATCCAGTAGCTTGTTAGCTCTACCGTCTAAATACTGGATTTCTCTTTCCAATTTCACAAATACCTTGGAAATGGCTAGGTTCTTAACACGGAGGCGATTCCCGTGTAGATAAATGGGGCCCGATGGAGGATGCAGCAGAGTTGACCTCCTGGATTGAAAGAGACGACCATACAGAAAACGCTGCCGACTTCTGTGGGGTCCCATTTTCCGGGATACGTATATGGATAATATTTTTCTTGTTTTCTTGGTTAGTCAGGGGCAAATTTAGTGTCAGAAGTGAGTGGTAAGTGGCTCAGTAGGGTGCAGAGAAGTTTAGGAATCCAACATTTCCAGATAGTCTGTCTACTTAGAAAATCTATGATAATCTGCTTTAAAAGCTATTTAGAGATGAAACTGGCATATATATACCCAAGCCAATAGTTTTCTTATACACCAGTAATAACCAACTAGAAAATATAATTGGAGAAAAGAAACAGCCCATTCACAATAGCAAACAAACAAATATGTAGGAATAAACCTAGCAAGAAACGGATTAGATCTATTTGTAAGAACTTTAGCCTAAAAAAAATAAAATTAAAAACCTTAAACCTAAGTGTACTTATGTTCTTTGATGGGAAGACTCAAAACTTTAAAGGTGCTAATATGCAAATTAATATTTAGGACCACCTGCTATTTCTGTCAGACCCCAATATCTTTAACTAGCTGGTTCAAATATTTGAAAAGGAAGGGCCTGTCCTCCCAAATATCCAAACGCATGACAAAACTATGGTAATTAAAATGGTATGACATTGTTGTAGAAATAGCAAAATGGTCAACACAACAGCCATAATGTATATGGGAATTTAACATATGATGTAGGAAGTAATTCAAATTATTGGGGGGGGGGGATGGACCACTTAACAGTGGGGAGACACCTGGCTAAAGTTAGATCTATTCTCTATATACATTAAAACATTCTGGTTGGATTTAAAATTCAAAATGTCAAAGAAAATACTAGAAGCAAATGTAGAAGACTTTGTTTTCTAAGACAGAAAACCCAGAAACTGTAAAAGAAAAGAGGAAGTAGTTGACTACATAGGGACTTTGGGACCAGGAGTTGAATAGAAGCAGCACTTTTCATTCTGTAATTTAAAAAAAAATTTTTTTTCCCTGAAGGAACCTGGATTCAGGTACTATGTGAATAATTCAACTCAAAAAAAAAATTTTTTTTTAAAAAAGTAACAAGGCCTTGAAGAAGTATGTTTTAAAGCAGAAATGAATAAACACTTCTCCCTTATGTGCCAGTAGCTTAAGGAATAACCATGATGATCAGGGGCCTCAGCGGGTGAGGAGCCAAGAAAAGTTCTCTCCACACCTCAGGCCCTTTGCACTTGCTGTAAGCTTTGTCGTTCCCCTTCCCACACGCTCCGGACCCTCACTCTCTCTGGGCACAGAGTGGAGCCTAGTGAATGTGCTGGCTGAGGGAGGGCACAGTATTTGGAGGACTGAGCTGTCCTGAATGCTATGGGACAAGTTTTCATCACTGGAGAACTGAAATCTCAGACCTCCCAGCGGGGGCTCCAGGATGGCTGTAAGGGGAACCTCCCAGCCAGCGCTGGATGCCTTGTGCAATGCGGGTAGAACCCGGGCCATTTTTCCTCCTCTGCGTGGGCCGTGCCCTAGCCTGCCTTAGGCGGGTTGCTCCAGAGGGGCTGAGCCCCTGGGAGCACCCCTCTCCCAGGACTGCTCGCTGGGGTGGAAGGACAGGCAGGCAGGTGAGTTCCAGATGCAACCTGACCCAGAGACCGGAAGGGCACAGGATGCACTCGAGGGCACAGTCCAGCAGCACAGACCCGAGCTGCCAGCCAGAGAGGGGAGGCGCGGGGGACTGACCGCACACCTTTGAGTCCCGAGGCTGGTGGCCTTTCAGGACCTCCCCTCCCCCCCTTCCCTGTGAAAAGAAAACAAACAAACCTTCAAACCGGCCACGAAGAAATACTGGGGAAACAATGGCCTCTTGTTGAATTTTCCTATGTCAAGCGAGTGTAAGCTTAATAAATAGAAGTTGCCAGCAAGAGCGGCAACTGTACCGTTGTCAGGACAAATGGGGAAGACTTGGGGGCGGGCAGCAACTGCTCCTGAATGTCCTCTTCTGTGTGCCATTCATTTTGCAAGTGTGCAAACGTTCCATTTTCAACTGGGTACGTTTTCCAAAAGGGACAATACAAACCTTTCCTGGCTGCAGAAATAGAAGAAAGTGGGAGGGGGCGCGGAGAGGGGGTGCCCAGTCACGGCCCGGGGCCCTGCCAGGGGCGGGGGTACGAACAGTTTCCTTTTCCGAAGAATTAAGGGGAATTGGACTTCTTGGAGACGGCGAGCACGCTTTGCAAACTGTTTGGGGGTCGGGGTCGCTAGCGATGAAGACTGCGTGGTGTTGGTTCCGGTGCAGGGGGCAGGGGAGAGGGGGACCCGAGGGAAGGGGACTGGGGCAGCCCCGGGGGATGGGGCGGGGGCGGGGCCGGAGCTCCTGGAGGTGAAATCAGGCAGGTTAGGGGCGGGCGCAGCGCCGGGAGAGTCGGAGCATGGAGGCTGGGGAGGCCGGCGGAGCCGCAGGTAAGGGGAGCCCCGGCCAGCCGCCCCGAGCCTGCCCGACAGCCCCTCCCCGCGTGTCGCGTTTCAATGGCTGGGCCGGCTGAATAGCTCCGGGCCCCAGCCCCGCAAAACGAGACCGTAAATAGCGCGCGGCGGCCAGGGAAACCTTCCCGGAGTGGGCGCCAGGGCTCCGCGATCCGCGCACCTGTCGCCTCCAGGGAACCGGATGGGCGGGCGGGGGCGTCGGGCGCGGGGTTGGCGGGAGCGGACCCCGACCCTCCGGGCCGCCCAGAGTCGGGACCGCTGACCTGGGCTTCGCGAGCCCCTTGCCTTGGGGGCTTCGTCCGTGCAATGGGGACCGCACACTGGGGGAGAAGTCAGTACAGCAAGTCGGGTTACTGCAGGCGCCCCTGCCGCCCCCCGCTCCTTGGGGACTGTCAGTTCTACCCCGGGCACCCAGCGAGGCGGGCGGAGCAGGTGTGTGGGTGGGGGGGAGCCCGGATTTCTGGGAGCATCCGGGAGCGCGCAGCATCCCCGGCCCCAGGTGGGGCCAAGCCCAGCTCTCTCTGGGTTCCCAGAAGCACGTGAAACAAATGGCCTGAGGGGTCTCAGCAAGTCCCGCGAAGGAGGGAGTGTTCCCTGGGGCGCAGGCTTAGAGGCGTTGGATGCTGAGAAAGTGCGAGGTCCGAGGTTCGCACAACCACCACGAAATGGTCTGAGGACCCCTTTCTCGGAACACATCCCCATCCTTAAGTGGGGCTGACCCTCCAGCTGGCTGGTCCTCCATTAGAAACAATGTAGTTTCATTGTAATGTTGAGATGCGGTAGGTACCCAACTCTTGTTTATATCAATTAGCCTGTGGCAAAACTGTTTCATCATGCTTGTTTTGCTAAAGTGGTAGAAGAACTATTTATGACTTTAAGTGAGGACTTAGTAACTTTGTTTTTATGACCTGGTGTAGGAACCCTGCCTTTGAGCTGTTTCCCCTGATTTGAAGCAGTTAAGGAGAAAGGTGGCCCCTAGCCAATTGTATGAATTAGTCCCATTCCCCCTGCGACTTTTCACTGGTCTAGAGATTGGCAAAGGGTTTTGTCTCTGTTTTTAGAGGGGCAGATACTATTTTCTTTTGTACTTATTTATTGAATGTGGTCCTTTCTGGAATGTTGGTTGTCATGGCTGCTGTTCGTGTTGTGGCAGGATATATGTTTGAGAACTGGGGCGAGAGAAAAAGTGACTGACTCGTGTGCCCTCACCTTCCTTGTGTGCACAGTGGAGAATTTGCCTACTTAGGGACTTCCTGTACGGACATTTCTCCTGTGTTTTAACACTTAGCCAGTGTGCAGGGTTGCTCAGACCACGCTTTCTCCCTTCCCCTCTGCTTTGAGTGGTCCATGAGTCACAGTTCCTCCCGGCCACTGCCTTAGGGCTGTGTGGATTCTACCCAGGCCGCTTCCTTTTTCTGGGAAAAGTAATGGTTAATCTCGTCTTCTGAAAAAGTGTACTTAGCCTAACCGGTTTAAGGGTTTTCCTGTTCTTATTCCAGCGTTTGCTGTGGCTTTCATGGCTGCTGATGGCCAGGTGACACCCAGCAGTCGCCCATCAGTCATTTCCACATGCGCCAGAGCCTAATGGATTGGAGTCCCGCATAGCTGACCCGCTGCCCAGGCTTTGCCAGCCCATTTCCAAAGGGGGTTTGAGCAAGTCACGTCTAGGCGAGAATCCCTCTTTCTGCATCACAGAGGCATTAAGCTAAGAACTGGCGTTCAGATAAGGCTGGATCCGGTCCCCACTTAGCTCCAGCTCTACAGGTAGGGGCAGGGCATGTGACATTCCTGTGTCAAGACGAGGCTTCTCAGTATTGGCATATCTGATTGGTATGTCTGGTAGATGGTTCTATCCAAGGAGGCTTTGGGGGCACCCTCAGTAATACTGCAAGGCAGGCCTCAGGGCCACACACATTCTCTCCCTTCCCCCACCCGACGTGTATGTGCTTTTGATTTCCCTGATGCTGAAGACCTTAGGTTCCACCAGACCATCTGTTGTTGTCATTTCAGCTCGGAGTATAGTGGGAAGGAAAGAGAAAGCCAGACAGAGCCCAGCTCTGTTCCTCCCTCATCCTTCACCTTGAACTTCCCTCGTCTGTCAGACAAGGAATTAAGCTGTCTTGTGAGGGTTGGATGAGACGTGTGTTCATCAGAGCTGGCGGGTGGGCCCATCCCGAAGTTTCCAGCGGACACAGAGAAGGCCATGTGTTTGCCTCCTCCCCCTCGTCGATTACACACAAAATGGACTGTTAGTGAGCATGACCTGTTTGACACTCTCCGCCTGGGAGTCGGTTCCGGCTCCCCTTTGGAGGGCTAGGTGTTGGACCGTCTGCACTGGACGGAAAGCAGATTTACAGACGGGGAGCCCAGGCGAGGAGGGAAGCCCGGGGAAGCCCAAGAAAGAGCAGACTGTAGAGTCCAGAGTGGAGGAGGAGTCTCAAAAGCCAGTGCCTGCCCTGAACCCGGTGGGGACCCCTGTCTCGGGATGAAGGCAGAGCAGAGCAGAGGGGGGCTGTGCAATGTGCTCCCTGGGCAATGGGAGGCCAGGAGCTGGGGCTCAGCGAAGGACCCCTGAGACACGCACCCGAGGGAGGGGGGGCCAGAAAGGAAAGAAGCCACAGGCGGGCCTGGAGCCCAGGGAGGTGGTGGTGCAGCCCTGGGCGGGGCCAGAAGGAGGCCCCGGGGAGGGGGAGGGGGGCCCACACCTTATGAGCCCGGAAGCGGGGCAGGCACCGCTGCTCTTTCAAAAGGGCACAGGGACAGGGAGAAGCTGAGCTCGAGGTGGGGTGTGGGTGAGGCAACTCGGCATGTCCCCGGTGTGTCCGAGACTTGAAGACGTGTTCGGGACCAACCCTCGGGAGCTCTCCTGTGCGCCAGGCGCGCTGCTAAGACGTCCCCAACGTTACCCAGTCGCTCCTCATAGTAACTAGTCAGCGCTGACACCTTCACCACCCCCGTTTCACTTAGACACGGAGAGGGAGGAACTTGCCTGGGTCACCTGGCTAGTCTAGTAGGTGGCAGTTGTGGGGATTCAGATGGGGTGGCGGCAGTCTGATTCCCCAGAGAAGGAACCTGTCAAAGTGGAGCCCTCCCCTCCACCCCCCAAAAAAATGGGGCTCAGGAAGGAAATAACCCACGAGCCAGGTCCTCAGAGAAGACTACACTTTAGCATCGAACTTAAAAAATCCCACATACTTATTAGCCATTTCGGGCCTTCCCCAGTCCGAGTTGTACCAGGGTGCCCGCGTAGAGGAACGTGGGCTTGGCAGGTTTGGGGATCCCGTTCCTGGGGGGCAGGGCCTCACTGGAGCAGTGGACAGGGCCTGGGCTGTCACTGTGCTTCGGTGGCCTGCGGGGAGTCTCCATTCCCTCGGGGGGGGGGGAGCGGGGGGGACAGGAGCGCTCTGAAGTCCGCTTGGCGATGTCCTTTGGCCTTTACTTCTGCCGGCCCAGCCTGATTCTCGGAGGCGGGACTGGGTGAGGGGATCTTTCCTCCGATGCCCTGCGCCCCCTGGCGGCCAGCGGGTGCTCCTGAATGGAGGGCGCAGGTCCTTTCAGACGCTGCGGAGGACCTTGGCTGCTTGGGTGGCGACAGGAAGGGCTGCTGGAAGGAGGTTTCTGAAGATTGGGTGTGTCAGGATGTGGGGTGGGGTGGGGCCAGGGCCCTGGTCAGTGCCTCCCCTGCAGTGTCTTCTAGGGACGCCGCTTTTCTGGGAGGGCTGGTCCTGAGTGGGCTGTCCTAATGGCCCGTCTGTGGGTTGTGACTGCTTGCCAAGTAATGGTATCCATCCTATAGATGGTTTGGGTTCACCCCCATTTTCAGACAACGGGGGTCTGTACTGCATGAAGCCAGGCCCGAGACGGCTGGCTCCTGATGTCCTGGCAGGGTGGAGAGAGTGACCAGGTGGTCAGGACTCGGGCTGGGTGGCGGGAGGGCAGTGGCACTGAGGCGTCGTCTCCGACCTTTGAAACCCTGGTCTGGTGACCGGCCACCTGCTCTGAGCTGGGTTCCTAAGGGCAGCGGCTCCCTGCTGCTCCGATGACATTCTCACCTGCGGCCCAGCCCAGGGCACTTCAGACCCAGGGTCATAGAAAAGGCCCGTGTTTTCTGCTGTGTTGTGTGGCGCAGACACCAACTTCTGGGCAAATTCAATCACGTTTGTTCCTTAGATGCCCAGTGGGGTCGCATGACTTTGAAAATCGGGGTTACTGGGGGGCAGTTGCAGTTCAGCGACTGTCAGTAGCTAGGGTCTGGGACCTTCAAATAATGCCTATTGTGATGTGGCTGGTGGGATCCACACACTGAGCTTTGGGGTGCACCCCAGCCTCTGCCCCGGGGTTCGGTTCTAAGGCCAACAGCCAGCAAGCTTGGGTGGGGCTGGGACACACAGCGTGTGTGACTCCGAAGGCCACTGTCTGTTGAAATCCAGGCATGTCTCTTCCTGTCCCCATTACTGCCCTTGGGAGCCCGCTCATGTCCCTGTGCCCGGGCCGGGCCCTCCTGTCCCCTCAGACCAGTGCCTGCTGTCTGTTGAGGCCCAGAAACCCTTTGATGCTCCTTGGCTCCTTCAAAGCAGTGCAGCCATGGGGGCCACTGGGCACCCCCTGAGGCTGAGGGTGGGGGATCGGGGGAAGGGTCGAGGGAGTGAGAGCTGCTGTCTCTGCGCTTGTGTGGTGGGGGCTCCCCAGGCCCAAACCCCCTAGACCATTGGGTTTCCTTGACTTGCAGAAATGAAGATAAATGTGTTTTTCTTGGAAACCAAGTCTCCAACCACTACTCTCAGGTTCCATTGAGAGAGCAAGTTGTGTTCATTGTCTTGCATTTTGCTGAAATAAACCCTGATCGAAGTCCCCGACTGTCTCATTCGGTGGTCAGTGATTGAGAAGTTTATGCTGTGGAGACGCCGCTTTGTATACACTTCCCCTGGTGCTGCTGCCCCCTGGCCACTCGTAATTTAAAAATGAATTTAGCCCTG